ATGCTTGCAAGAAAGCCAATAGCTCCAGCTCTGTGGGGTTGCCCTTGCGCAAGAGCCACACCGAGAGCGCCCCTGGCTCAGAACAGGCTTGCAAGAAGGCCAGAACTTTGAAAGAAGAAATTTCAATGGTCTCTGTAGATTCTCATGGGTTCCCCATGATCTTGAAATCACCAGAGCATGAGGATAGAGAGCGACCCATGTCAATTTTAGAACGACAGAGGGCGAGTTACAGGGAGCAACTACAACAGGCTGCCCAGGCAGCTGCCCAGCAGCATGTGGCAGATGGAAGCTCAAGGCCTGCAAGAAGGCCTGGTCTTTCCAAGAAGCCAGCCGGCAAACCAAAAGCCAAGCAATGCATAAAGAAAAAGCCATCTTACTCAGGGCCTGAAAGGAGGCCAGAAGCCAAGCAAGGCCCAAAGAAAAAGCCATCTTACTCAGGGCCTGAAAGGAGGCCATGGTCAGATGTGAAGAAAGTTTTGGGAAAGGATCAAGCCTATCTACTAGGCCTGCAAGAAGGCCAGTGGAAACTCATAGTGGGCTGCACAAAGAAAATGGGCAAACATTTTCCAGGGGGGCACCACAGTGTGATCCTGGAGTTGGAAAAAGTTGTGATGGAGGAAGGCACGACAAAAGAGAAGATGCAACAAAAAAGGGATGATTTGGTCAAAGATGTTGACTGATTTGGTCAAAGATGTGGGCTCATATGCTCGGAATGGCCTGAGAGAAGGCTAACAATATATTTGTGTTTTTGCTTCACGGCCTGAAGGAAGGCCAGTGAAGGTAGATCATGTGTAAAGGCACATTGACAATTGCATTTAGCTGGCCGATGAAAAAAGAGCGAGTGATCTGGGAGGGCTGTGTCTTAAGCTCTTGCAATGTGGTATACTGATTGACCAACATCAAACTAAGCTGTAGGGAAGCCATCTAAAGTATCAATTTCCCCTGCTCTCAAGAGACACCCACAAAAAGAATAGACTAATATATACTTTCCAATCCATTCACATGCTCTTTGGTGCTTAACTGTTCAATGTAAGTATCAGCAGTTTTAAAGCCAGTGGTGTTTACCGAAAGCATTTTTGAAAATTTTCAGATACTTCTTTATATCTTTAAAATTTCTCTATATATATAAATATGTATTGAGCCAAACAAGAAATATATGTATATTTTGTTGTATTTATGCATTGAACAAACAAACATATTTATACATTTCCAGCCTCAACAACTAACCACAGACATGCTCGAATGTGTGCACTCCGCTTTTTTTTGGCTCAAGCAAGCATAGCTTTTTGTTAGCAAACAGAAACTCAAGAGCTGCAAGAGGCCTGCAAAAAGGCCCAGCTGCCTGAAAGAAGGCATGCCCTGGCAGGGGAACTGGGGCAAAGGTTGGAGAAGCTGGAAAGAAGAAATGGAAAGAGAATGGGCAGATGAAGACGAAAAAGACCAATGGCTGCAGGCCAGAAGAGACAGGTGGGCAGATGGTGGCCAAAGTTCTTCTGAAGAAGGCAAGGGGCCTGCAAGAAGGCCAGAAGGAAAAGGCCAGAAGGGCAAGAAGGGCAAGGGAGAAGGCAAGAAGGGACCTGAAAGAAGGTCAGACACAGAAGAGAAAGGCCAAAAGGGAAAGGGGAAAGGCAAGAAGGGGCCTGAAAAAAGGCCAGCCACAGAAGAGAAAGGCAAGAAGGGAAAGGGAAAAGGCAAGCAGGGGTCTGAGAGAAGGCCAGAAGCCGAAGAAAAAGGCAAGGGAGGCCAGGAAGAAAAGGGCAAGAAGGAGCCTGAAAGAAGGCCAGTCTTTGAGCCTGAACACTGGGAAGGCAGGCCAGAGTGGGACCCTTTTTGGCAAGAAGGGCGAGGCAAAAGGTCCAGAGAGGCCAGAAAGGCTGAAAGGTCCCAAAGGCCAGATGTGCAAGAAAGGAGGGAAAGGGGCCTGCAGGAAGGCTACCCTCCAAACCAAGTTCAGCCTCTACAGCCAGGGTCCCAAAAGTGGAGGCTGATCAAAGAAAGGGAGAGGGACCTGGCAAAAGTGGAAAGGGAGGTGTTGGCTGACAGAGCCAGGCTGGCAGAGGAGAGGGCAGCCTTCCTGGAACTGCAGCAAAAGTTCCTTGAGGAAAGGCTTGGGGGGCCTGAAAGAAGGCCACAGCCAGCTGTGGTTCTGACTCCTGCCAGTCAAGAAGCAGGCCCTGCAGTGGTCTTGAAAGAAGGGCCAAGTGGGGAGAGGCCTGAAAAAAGGCCAGATGAACCTTCCCCAGACGTGGAGAGGCCTGAAAAAAGGCCAGATGAGTCCTCTCAAGAGGAGAGCAAAGAAGGGGCGACGCCTGAAAGAAGGCCAGAAGAAACTTCATCGACTGATAAGTCTTCCTCCAGCACCTCAAAAGAGGAAGACCAAAAGAAGCAGAAGGTCGAGTCAGATGACCTCTGAGGCTTGAAAAACAGCCAACACTGTGCCCTCAAAGTTTCACCTGGGAGAGGCTTGAAAGAAAGCCACCCAGTGCATGCCAAATGTTTCACCTGGGAGAGGCTTGAAAGAAAGC